ACATTTTTTTTGTTGTTGTTGGTCTTTGGTTCTCTCAACAAGCTCCCTCCGAAGTTTCGTCGGTGTTGTCTGCCTCTGAACACTTGGAAAAAGAGTTCCCCAAGTTTCGTCGGTGATGTTTGCCTTCGGGACACTTGGACACCGAGTTCCCCGCGTTTCCTGGTTCGCCTGTTTGCCAACTAATTTGTCTTAAATGCTTGTTCTAGTTCCATCGTACCGCAGAAGTGTCGCATACGCTTGGTGCTTCGGGATTCCATCCCGTGGCGTCGCCTTCTCCCATGGATTTTCGTCGTCACCCACACTTCGTTCTGCTTCGTCTCCATCATCGCCACCTTCGGGCGACGCCTTCATCACAGTAGCGCCCCTGAGTCATCGTCTTGTTGTGTGAATCTCTACGACTTCCTGTATTTTATGTCTGTGACTGGTGCGTATCGCCAGCGAACCATGGCGCAGTTTGTCGACCGCCTCTCTTGCATTAATCGCTTGTGCTTTGCATCCTTGGTCCTAAATAGGTCTTGCCCCTGCCGTCTCCTTATACGGGTTGGGTACCCTGGCACGCTGGCCATCGTTCTCGGTGCCTTTGCCTGTCGTTTTTTTCTCCTACCCTTCGTTAACGTCCTAGATTGCGTTGAGTTTTCCCTTTGCGTCACGTCCAGTATCAAAGGCCGTATTCGTTCGGAAATTTGTTTGGGTTTTGAGTTTCGTCACCGTATTTTGGACTCGCTCGGGTAGTCACCCTCATTCCTCCAGCGGTGATACGCGCGGGTGCGCGTAAAAGAGTGGTGTGTGGCGTCTGGATATTGATTTTTTTTNCTCGCTCGGGTAGTCACCCTCATTCCTCCAGCGGTGATACGCGCGGGTGCGCGTAAAAGAGTGGTGTGTGGTGTCTGGATATTGATTTTTTTTCCTGTCATCGTCTGTTCAGGACGATAGCGTGCTGTGCCGCAATACATATTCTTCGTAGCTTTATCCCTTCAAGCGTTGTCATTGAGATGTCGATGTTCCGTCTCGTGACCGTTCGCATTCTTCATCTCAATGATGGTGTGGGGGATTGATTCGGGATATTTCTACAACTCACCCTCCTTTTGGATGTTTTGTGAAGAGTCATATCTTCGATTCATGATCATAATCATCAGCAATATTTTAATTGTGCTTTAGACTAGGATTTGAGGATTGATTTGATTATAGAATCTGCATAATATATAATATTATGGGTGGGCTAGTGTTAAGAAGTGTGGCTGCTAGCATGAATAGGGTACATCTTATTCTTGACAGGATGCGGGTCGGTCAGGAGGTATACCCTTCTGACCCCTACCCCCTTAGAATTGTCTACTCTGTGTACCCCCTGAGATGAAGTTGGATCCCCACTTCATCTCAGACCTTTGCTGATCGTCTCTCAGCAATAACAAGCAACTTTCCCATCTCAATGTGGTCGTGGACAAGCGTGTCAACGACAGAACCTTCATCTATCTCTAGGAGCAAGCCACCGCCCACGGCATCACTCCTTGAAAAAGGTGCGTCATAAGTCATTTGTTTTTCTCATTATTTTTTCACGAAGGGTCTCATGTCTCGTGTCATCCAGCCTGATGCCCCATGAGAATTTTCATGGCACTGTCATGAAAAAAGTAAAGGGCTTTTATTTATTATGGAGCAGTGGCCAAAATCGGGTGAACCCAGTCCGAACACGGCCATAATCGGGTACCCCTACAATATGCTGCAGGGAGCGACCGCATGCTCACCATCTGATTGGCCGACACCCGCCCCTACCCGACCTCTACCGCCTTTCCACCGGGTGCACCCGATCTTGGCTACTCACCCCCCGGAGGGATACCCGGTTTTTCTTTGCCCTACCCGAACATGGCTGGGCTGTTCGACCAAAACCCATGCACACAAGAACACGTCAGCAACGCCCTGCCCTCGACTTCGGACGTTCTGACGGCCCGGCGGGCGGAGGCAGACCCCCCGCCGGCGGTGGAAGTCTCCCTTGGGAGAAACGGCAGGCGGTCTGTGCTAATAATCGAGAAGAAGACTTGAATGGATACCTCATCACTCACCAACCACGAGATGCGACACACAAGAGACTCATTAAAAAATACTTCTAGTAGACATTTTCTCTCCCTCCCGCTGCTTTCTCAGTGGCGACAAACGAGGGCCAGTGGTGTGCGTCCGACCCGTGATTGTGTGCATGGGTTTTGGCCTAACAGCCGAGCCATTTTCGGGCAGGGGACAGAAAAACCGGGTACTCCTCCGGTGGGTGAGTAGCCAAGATCGGGTGCACCCGGTGGCAAGACGGTCAAGGTCGGGTAGGAGCGGGCGTTGGCCAATCAGATGGTGTCATGCGGTCGCTCCCAGCAGCGGTTTGTAGGGATACCCGATTATGTCCGTGTTTGGACCAGGTGTGCCCGATTTCGGCCGCTGCTCTTTAGTTTTTTAGTACGTATGCATATTTCTTTCAAAATGAGAATCTCATGGGCTCATGAGAATTATTTCCTCTTGAACAAATCTCATGTGAGAGCTCTCAAGACACTCATGAGAGTATTTTTTCTTCCCACGAGAACATAGTTTTCTCGTGAGAAAAACCCAGTCGTCATCATGTGTTTCCCTGGATGATGTACGTGTCTTTATTATTAGCATCGACCGATTGGTGTACCTATTGTGGCGAGCGTGTGTAACCGCCGTGCGGTATGAGCTAAACAAACAAGACACAACAGGAACGAAAAGAGCCGATCGTTTAATGTACATACCAGCACGAACCGAAAAACAATGCAAATGTTTGCTAAGTTTGTTGGCGACGTGTTGTTGAGCCTTGAGTCAAGCGAACTAGAGCCAGGGATTGCTACCGATCCTTGAGCAAACCAATCAGTCAGGTGCTTCGAACGTCCAATCAGTATCAAAACATGGAGCAGCTATTCGTCCATCCCAAAATAACTTGCCTCCCCCATCCCCCCTCGGTGTTTGCCATTGGGATTGGGTTTTTGTCGCTTGGCAACGACGTTGTAAAACACGCCGATCCACTTCGTGAGCTCGGCAACAAGGTTACCGCTAATTTTTTATTTTCTCTGTTTCGTTTTTTTTGCGGTGACCATGAATGGTGGTCGAGTGGATCATGTTGTGCGGGGTCGAGAACCCTCACCCCCCGCAAGGGAGATGATCGCACCACGTTGTGTTTAGATGGTAAAAGCATCCTCGAGGCAGTTACGCAGTGCTTATAACAGTCTCTGGAAGTGAAAGCACCAGAAAATAAAATAAGTCATGCGCAGCTGTCATTCGGACGCAAGGAAATAAGCACAAGATGCCGAACACCCTTAGTAGGATGCAGCGCACCGTTCATGCGACTCGCCGAATATCTCACGGCGCTTCGCGCTTGGTGATGTGAGAGCCTTCCGTTTCGGCTTCGTAGGGATGCGAGGTCAATGGCCTTACAAATACGGCATGCATGACTATGAGGACACCCCCCCCGCCCTTTGGACGAAGGATGCAAAATCCAGATCGGTTCAGGTGATGGCGGAATCTACCGTCACCAACACCGCACGCGACCTTCAAGCATTTGTGCCAGGGTGACTTACACCATTCAAGTGCAGACAAGTTATTACGATTTTTGTGGTGATTTAGGCTGTCGAACGAAACTGACAGCAGTTAGCAACACAAACACATGTGCCCCAATATCCCCCCCAACAATGCGGCCCTGATAAAGCATTATACACAGCAACATGAGAGAGCAGGGAGAGGAAAAAACATACTACGCATATGTACGCACAGATCCAACTGCCGATTCGTTACCCTCAAGACTCAATTCTCGTGACAGACTTGAGGATACACTGCGTTTCAGACTCAGACCACGCTCCGGCTCAATCGGCAAGTGAAGTCGCACACAAGTGGCGGCATGATGACAACGTTCAACAATCCTGATGGTTGTTTATCAAGTCCGAACAAGTACCGGATAAGCGGTGAGAAGCGCAGTAAACACCAAACACTTTTTTATGTATGTTACCAACAAGGGGGTGACAATGGCCAGGGTACATTAGAATGGACGTACGTACAAAGATATCCCCCCACACGCAAACAAACAACGCACGGCAAGGAAATAAATCATCAACGGTGAGAGAGCCTTCATGTCATAACAACGCTACAACTACGTTTTTCCTCCTTTTCCGTTGTCCCAACCGATTCAGTGCCGCCCAGCCAACGACGTCTCCAAGACATTCTTCGTGATGCCTTCATCCCCACAAAGAGCACCCCACCATCACGGCACAACACAAGGGACAGAAAGCTGCAGGGACAAAAACAAACCAATCGCGATTGGCACATCAATCGTGCTTGGCGGTTTGGTGAATCGGCCCGCCTCGACAACGCTGGCTTCCCCGGCTGTTGCAACTGCACTACAACGGAACAAAAAAAAAAAAACAGAAAACCCGGGGAATACAGACCCACTCGCGCGTAAAAGCAAAACGAAAGGTCGAATAATAATCGCCGCTGAACCTATTTACAACCGCCGCGGAGAGTCTCGCCGCGACGGGTCATTACACCATCACCGCCCTGTTTATCTTCGTCACATGTGCCCTAGGGGACAGACAGCCGAGGAGGCGGGGGCAGCACGCGCCCAAACACTGCGCGCCGGGTCATTCTATCATACGTGCTGAAAAACAGATTTACATGCAACGACAGCAGCAAGGAAAGAAAGCCAGTTGTTGCGGGAAAGCAACTCTCCCTTTTTCCAGCACACAAACTCGTGGGTAACATTTCGTCGTGCACTAAAATACCACGCTTTTCGACAAGAGCAAGGGGAGAGCATCCATCAACACCCAGCCAGCCGACGCACACGCTGCTGCTGGGGCATCTGGGCTCTCCCTCTCTCCCCCTACCGGCAGCGTCAAGCGGGCGAACCTAAACCAAGCGTCGCTACAGCGGCAACTATCATAGCTACACTGGAGTCACGGGCGCTTGGCCATGGTGTACGCGAGAAGGTCTTGCTCCCGTACCTCGTCCGACTCGAGCCACTCCATCACCCTAACGTTCTTCCGCAGTAAGTCGTGCAGCGCCCAGTCGTGGTAGAAGGAGAAGGTACTTTTCATTTTTTTTTTTTCGTTGAACCAGGTTAGAGACGTAACAACAACAAAAACACGCAGCGGCAGGGGGAGGGGGGAGCATCGCGTCAAGGTGGTGTTGGAAGTGGTGGGGCTGGCAACTACAGCAGCGAAACAGGAGGCCATGGCTAGGTACAATGTGACGTGACCCACGTCCCGACATGCACGAGATGACGTACGTATGCACAGGCCCCCAAAACAAGACACAAGATCGACTCTGCAAGCACGATCATAGCACGTGCTAGGTCCGTGAGGAGTTGAGGAGATCAGAGCGCAAGCCGCCCTCATTTCCCTACGGAAAGGTTGCTGACTACGCACGCCACCCACTGCAAGTGCAGCCCAGCTGCGCTTCCTACCCCCAAGCAGGGTCACTGTCAACGCACGAGCGACCTCTCGCGAACCCAGCCTCCCAGAGCAAGCATGACCCAAAAACCGACCTAGGACTTTCTACAGGTTGCGCCGAAGCGCGTCATGCCCGCCTTTCAAGGGATGCAGCAGCATGGAGCAAATGAATAGCTGTGCGCAGCATTGCGTGGGCACCAACACCCGCCCCCGCCCCTCTCCGCCAAAAAAGAAAGTTCACTCGCTCACGAGCCTAGCATGAGAACGAAAACACGCCCCCCCCGGCGGCAACAAACGAACAAATGAAAACTCACCAGAAGGTTACGAGAACAGCCAGCAGAACGTCCAGCGTGTAGTGCAGCTTGGACCCGATGATCACCAGGGCCCCCAGGGTCACGTACGCGTAGACCGCCCGTCTCACCGCCGACAAGACGCCTTCGGAAAGGTGGAAGCCTCTGAGGAGCACCTTCGTCTGGAGCTCCGAGGCGCGGCAGTACCTCCGGAAGGTCATCGCCACCATGAGCAGGCAGGTCGTGTGCCCCGAGAAGACCATGTCGCCGCTGGTGGTTTGTTTTTGACGGAAGGTCACGACGGGGTGAGACAGTAGCAGCAGGGGAAGTAACAACAACAACAACAACAAGAGCTGCAGTGATGGTGGTGGCCGTGATCTTGAAGAGGAGTACGGAGTAGGAGGGGGGGGAGGGAAGGGCAAAGCGTTTGGTAGGTACGTTGCGCGATTGGGAGAAGTTGGGCGCAAAACCTTCCTGTTCCGAGGACGTCATGTGGTACACTCTAGTTTGGAGCAGGCACGGCCAAGGTCACGAGTCGCATTGCCTTTCGATTGACCAGGAAGTGAGAGCGTGTAGAATACATCAGTGCACAAGCAGGACAGAGAAGCAGCGAGAGCTGCGCCTACTTCGCGCGTAGCGTGGGGACGTGACCGGGCTCTCAAGCACACCAAAAATCATTGGATGCCTCGCCGAGTCTTCACCCGTCCATAGACGCCGGGATAGTAGGGGAGTGATTAAGATAGTGTGCTGATATGTTGGATACTGCTGTAACGCAACTCTTTTCACACGAAAAGGAGAACAAAAAAACAAGTTGGAGATCAGAGCCCGATACGACTCGAGGAAAAAAACTCACCAGGTGACAAAGCTTGTGGGCGACCATACGAATCGCGCCGCCTCGAAAAACGCGCCAGGGAAGAGCTCCGCGATAGCCGCGTCCTCCTGCGCGCCAGGACGCAATCACCAAGGGCGTCGGGTGGGTGCGTATCAAAAGCGCACGTCCATTGTCCATGAGCAAAATACACGACGTCACTTTCCGCCGACTAAATAACAAATTTCGCTAGTCAGTCGATAAGCCAGCGTGATCGGTGCTAACTAATGCAGTGGTACACACGTATCCCGATAAAAGGCACGTGCCTCTGCCAATGGTCAGCCAACTATTAATGGTGCTGCCGATGCGATCTCAAGATACACGCCCACATACACGCACCAGAGAGCGCATATAATACATTTTTTCCGCTGCTTAAGGCTGTACTGACTACAGTGGGAAACAAGCCCCCCTGAACCGTAACATTTTTTATTTATGAAACCGTCGGAAAAATGCGTTAATGGGGAGGGGACAGGGGATGGGCGGAAACACGTGGAAATGAAGAAATAGCTTCAGACACATTTTGCTAGCTCCAACGACGTGCTGTAGAATCCAAGCGACCGAAACAAAGCACCCACACCACAGACCAGTGCGAGCAATGGAGGGTGGCACTAGTCCTGATGCGAAGCGGGCCCGTACTTCCGCGGACGGAGGCCAAACGAACTCAAAAAATACAGCAGCAGCGGCGGCGGCGCTCTATCCTGCCGCAGGCTGCAGCAGCGGAGGCGCCGCCGCCGCCGCGGCGGCACCCGGCTCCATGACCGCACGCTCACGCGGTGCTGCGCCGGAGGGCGAACCCGATCCAATCTTTGACGACCCGGTGGTGGGGGAAGAGATCGAGGGCTTGATGGGAGACCCGCCCAGCGTGAGCGATGACGAGGAGCTTGCTGCCGTTCGAAAGCATGCTATCGAATCCCCGGAGACTGTCCGGGCTTTCATCAAGGAGCGAGCAAGGAGCCTGGCGATCAGAGCTGGCTGCCCCCACTCCCTGCCCCTCGTGACTTGGAAGGACGACCCAGCTTCCGCCGTGACATGCGGGAAGCATCAGGCGCATCTGATTGGGAACGTCGACTTGCAGGTATGCACACAGCTGCAGCAGCGCTAGGTGTAGACTAGTCTAGCCGATGCCGTTTACAGCAGTAGTTGGGCACAACAGTAGCTGTACAGCAGTGGCCATGCAGCCCGACGTCTTCCTTAGGCAGCAAAGCGCAGCGTAAACTACGGCAGAGAGCTTTGAGTTCCAGTAGTTTCCCGGAGAGTTCCATTAGTATTGCCCTGTCCCCAAAACGATTTGAGGGACAACGTACTACATAAAAAAAAACATGCACCCGCCTCCATGACGCAGTATATCACCCCCCCTGAATCCGTGTGTTGTTTTGCAATCCATGGGCACACGACAGCCTAGGCACCTGGTGCAAGGTATTTTGCAAACATACTGTTATAGGAAGGCTACAATTTAGTGCATCGAGCGCACGCTGCTGTTCATAGTTTTTTTTTAATAGTTATCGATCATGCTGCACAACTTGTGGAAGGCCAGGTACAAACCTGTGAGTACATTCTCACCTCCTCGGGCGTGTGCACTGCTGTGGTACTTTTTTTGTCTCCATCTGTACATACTATGTGTGCGGCCCTTTTGATTTTGTTCCTGAAGAGAGTGCTCGTATCTTAGATCTCCTGCCTCTGCCCTGCAAAATTTTGCACCAATAATACGAGATATTTCGTTGTCGCGCATAACAATTTACCTCCTCACGCGCCCCCCCCCCACCCTCTATTCTGCGATGTCCTGGTTGCCCCAAAGACGGTGCTCGAAAGGCAACTCAAGTTGGACGGCGATCCCGGATACTGCCTGGCGAAGAGGGTGCGAAACCAGGTGTACTACGATACCTCCACCGATCTGCTCGCCAAAGGAGCCGGGAATCAATGCACTGCCGCCGAGTGCATGGTCGCTGCTTTGAAAGTGTTCTCGGGGAAGGGAAACAAAGGCATACCGACCGAGATCGTGCGCGCCATGTGCATGTATTAGTGTCACCTCCTGGCTGCTGTTGCTAGTGCGTGCGAGTGGCTTGTGGCGGCATTATTTAGCGTGTTAGAAACTTGTGGGGCGGGGGGTTATGTGGAGACGACTCACCCGCCCGTGCACCACGCAGCAGATGCTCGTGGTTGGGACTAGAATTCAGTCGGCAGTTCTTTTCGTTTAGAGGGTTGTTGGGGGCGTTTTGAACGGACGGACGCCGTGTTGTTTCAAATGTTGAAATGCATCGTCATTTTTTGGGTTGCGAAGCATAACGACGGTGTGTGGGGGGGGGTGGGGGGGGGGGGGGGGGGGGCGTCCTTTAGAACTATACAAGTATAATGTTTTAGCTGCTGGTTTGCACGACTGAAATGCACCCTTTGTTTTCGAGTCCCATCATCAATTGTGCCGCTGCCTTCAAGATAGATCTGAATGCACCTTTATTTTATCCGAAACATCTCGGAGGGGGAAGGGACCCTTTCGAAAGATAGACCACAACGAGGTGGGAGGGATATGCCCACCCGTTTGTATTTTTGGAACACGGCTGCCAACCCCTCCTTGTACGTATCGATTGAGCACATATATGTGCGGTTTTTTCTGCCCACCGCGTTTTTTTTTTTCGTTGAAGAGGTGGAAGGGTGATCCTCCCTCCCTCACGTATGTTTTTTCACACGACTACCGATCCTTCCTTGCACGTATCGATGGAGCACACAGAGGTGGGCGTGTTTTCTGCCCGCCGAGACAGTTTCTTTTTTTACGGTGAAACACAACGAGAAAGGAGGGAGGTTCTCTGCCCCCCACAATCTTATTTTATTTAGGACACGGCAATCGATCTGTTTAATGCCTTCGAAATTGCTGCACTCGCCGAGAGCAACAACAGCACACCTTTGGCAGCGGGAAAAAAAAAAATACTCCAGGACGAATTTTGCATACCCCCTTTCAATCTCCCGCCCGCAAAACACGAACTACGAGGAAGTCCGGCTGGCGGTTTTTTTCGCCGCCCATTCCTCTCGGACCTTCCGGCAGATTTTCTGCCCCTTTCGCTGATGCTGCTTGTCAGCCAAAAACTGCAAGCCCACCCCTGCAGCGGTGCACTCTGCACACACCCGAGCTTTTTTCCCTCCCGTCCGGACATCAGCAAGTTATCCCGCAGGTGGTGTCTTGCCTTATCTGTCCCGACGGTAATCACGCCGGGAAATTTCCAGTCTAAATCCCTATTAATAGGCATATTTACTGCTGTAAATTCCGCTTAAATGGAAAACGCTGTTTCTCCGTCGTTTATGATCAGACTCCGGTTTTGGGACATTCATACGAAAGCTATGGGTCAGGGCCATCTTTTGGAAGCGTCAAAAAAAAATGCACAGTACTTGCACTGTCTAAAAACGCCTATATGTGCAGAAAAACGCACACTTTTGGGAGCCAGCACACCGAAACCGAAATTTTGAAGGTTTGGCAACCGAACGCATCAACACTCTTCGGAGGGCGTTGCATGTTCACAGACTACCTATATCAGTCGCCTTTTGCACGGCGCCTCGTGTGTACAGCTTTTCCGATCGGCTTGACCGCCCCTCAGCACCCCGTTTGGCGGAAATCATGTCCTCATTTCCAGAGGGTGAGGAAACACCGACGCCGACACGTTCCTAAACTTCTGCGGGCACTGCACGACCGTCACACATATGGAGCACACCCTCAGCGTGCGAGTACGTGAGTTCATCCACTACACGCCTTATTCGTGCCGGGGCGGTGTGCTGGAGAATCGTATATCCGGCAATTCCGCCGCTTCAAAGCTGCTGATTCTGTGGTCGGCGACGACAAGTCTTTCGGTCGTGCATTGTACGATGTGACACTTCATATATCTCATCTCATGCGTATTTCTTCTGGGTCTCACCGGTTGTTGTTCTGGGCACGTCGCTGCCCTCCTGCTTGCGGGTCGCCGTAACAAGTGCGGTCAAACCAGGTTTTGTCGTGTTTTTTAAAAACAGGGGGGTTTCCAGACCAGTCTATTCCCTATACACTGCCCCGATTGCGAACCGTAACATCGATTGGCGGTTCCCCCTTAAGTCTGACGCTGTTCAGCGGTCAGCCGCTAAAATGTGGTTGATTCCAACAAGAGCAACACGCACACGCACCAGATCATGGCCTTCAGAGGAATTTCTTGCTTTCACTGAGACTCATTGCTCAGCCGGATAGGGCAGTCGATGCTAACAAACACACACACACACACACACACACACAAACACACCGTCCCCATCCCGGGGTCCCCGTTAACGGCATTTAGAAGTGTTTCGTGTTTTCAACCGCACTGAGACTGAAGTTTTTTCATTGTTCAGCCGGTTAGTGCGGTCGATACTATTATCAAATACACACACACACACACCTCAAATCTCTCGCGACACACAGGCGACGCGTCCGGGAGCACCGTCACCGACACGGACACCGCCCGCATCATCAGCACCGTCCCGAAGATGATGAAGACCCTCCGCATGATCTTCAAGCGCTGCGGGTGGCACAGGATGAAGAGGTCGCCCACCATCCCCGCGAAAGACACCATGCGGTCTGGGAGGGCGTGCTCGTCGATGTAATCCGTGTGATGCCCGAGCCTGAAGTAGTGCCGTTTGGAGACGGGGGGTACTCATGTTAGGGTGGAGGGGCAGTGGTTTGGGGTAACGGGTGATGAACGTCTTGAGTGACTCGACTGCACGCGTTCGATGCTGGTCTTGTCTTGGCATTGTGAATAAAAGCGTTCCGGTCTCTTTATCAGTACCTTCTCATTTCTGCCAGTACCGGTCCAACTGACGCGGACACCTTCCATAATCACAGGCCAGAACCAAGGGCAAAAACACTTTGAATATCCGTCATTCCAAGAAAGCAGGCAAGTAAGGCGGTTCAACATCAGTGCACCACATCAATGAAGTCGATTTCCCCACTCTTTGTTCCGCGTGGACTTGCAACCGTGTGCTATTTCCACTGTTTCTCGAATCGAAACGCTCTGAACGTAGGTCAACACATCACAACTTGCATGCAGTACCCCCTCGATGCTATTGTTCGGTCTGAACTCCGCCAACGTCTTGCTGTGTCCATCCATACTATTCAAAGAGGTCGTCACCAGCGCCAACAATATCCCCCATCAACCCCACGGCCGGTAACCATAATGGTGGTCGAGTAGATCATGTTGTGCGGGGTGGAGAACCC